CAGATTTTTTCGTATGTTTGAAGAAAATGGAACATATTCGAGCCGGATTGTCTCCCACAGCGGCTTGAGCGGGTGGCGGATGGTTATCGATCGGCCTTCCTCCTCCCAAAAGCGCGGCGGCTGGAGGTCCTCCAGTTTATCGAGAACCACCCGAGCTCATTATCAAACGCGCTAAGTCCTTTATAGAGGTCTTGGGTTATCTCCCCGATGGGGCCCTAGCAAAGGGGGCTGGAGCACCAAATTGCCACCGGGATTTCATCTCCTTCCTGTGTTAAGCATTCAGTATATACCAACCAATCCCCTTGCTAAGTCGAGCTTGCTGTAGCTAAAAAGACACCCAAGCGTAAAAGAGCTCTATGCCTTGTTCGAGGGCCACCCTAAGCTTCTTAATAAAGAGTCAGTCCTGAACGCGGTCAAATCCAGGTTGCTTAACTATTCTGAAGATACAGGCCAAGTTTGACGACAGCGTCGCTGATGTCCGTTTAAAAAACCGACTCCCGGCGGTCACTACAACCGCGCCTTCTCTCCAGACTCGGAAAGAGGGGGAGTTGAATCGCTTGCTGCTGCTCGTCTTTGGCCACTCTCTGGCGGACCAGAAGATTCCCGAGGCCTTTCTCAAAAGCAACTATTTTACTCCGCGTGCGCAGCTGGTACAATTGTTTACAGAAAGTTCTCAAGGGTTTGAAGCAAATCTCAGGGAGCCTCATGCGGATCAGGATATACGTGTTGCAATCGTGGCTGACTATCTCATGCTTGCGAATAAAATAAACCAACAGTTTCTCGGTAGTTATTCTTTTGAGGTGGTCGCTAACGCCGTAGTCGACTTCAGCCATCCCCAGTTTTGCCTGGCGAGGAGGAAGTTGCAGGAGATCAGACAGCATGCTCTTGCGGTCCCGGGGCAGGGCAAAAGTTCGGTGATTCGGCGGCTTTGCTTGAGACCTACTCCAAAACACCCGAGAGCAAACTTAAAAATTATGATCGTCATTTTATGCCTGGAGGCGTCAGAGGCAAGATGACTAGTGATGCTGCCTTTATTAATGCGCTCCTTATTAACGGGAGCCCCATCACTAGCAAGTGTCTTGCTATATTGAACGCTTGAGGCCTTGAATGAATGTTTCATGGACATGGCATTTTGGACGATCACTTGGGAGAAGACGGCGGCTGCTTCGGTGATCAATCATCAGGAGGAGCAGCTTGCTTGTTTGCAGGATGCTGTGGTGCGAAACGAAACAAAAATTGGGAATGAGGATACCGAGGGCACTTTCTCTCATACTGTCGCGCAGCTGAAAGTTTATAAGATCGACCTCCATGGTGTTGATGACCGTTTGGGTGGTTTACTGAGAGCTGCTACAGGAACGCTGCCTGATCTCGTTGTAGTGGCGCGGTTTGGGGAGGGTGCGAATCTGAAAAATGGAAAGATAGAGATTTAGGGTCTCTGGATTGGGCAAGTATAAAACGAGTGGTATCATATGAGCAGCGGTAAACTGCAAGAGGCTTGGGCTGGAACTTCCATCTCTTCTGGGTTGGTGATGGCACTTTTCTTCTCACTTGCTATGCTGCGGTCCTGCGGGAAGCCTCGGACCACCGGGGCACGTATGGATAATATTGGAGACGTACCTATAGGGTGTATTATCTTGAGTTTCCCTGATACATATCAGCATGGCGTTAGATTTGTGTATGACCCAAGCAGTTGAGATTTTGCTCCAAGCAAGGAAACTCCTGTTGTGACGGATTTAATGCCCTTCAGCTGCCAATACGGTGCCAAGCAGAATCCACTGCGCTCGATCCCTGTATGAGAAAACGCTTTTGACAGCCCCAACCGTACGCAGCTGGAGGCTGTTCTCACCTAAGCTCAGGCCACCAAGCGACTTGAGTATCGTCGTTCCGATAGAGCTGCGAGGAGGGTGGGACGCCCTCCTACGCGTATTACTCTGCAGGCAGAGAGGGGGGTCGGCGGATGGTCTAGACTTGGCCCGGTTCTCAGCTCGAGTCGAGTGCTTTGCATGGGGATCGCGGCTGCTGTAAACGATGTTGCGACAGTCCGGCTGAAGGTGAATGATGTCGAGAAGACAACTTTCGAAGTGCGCAAGGCACGTGGGCAGGTTTCAGCCTTCACAGTTTTCAACCCTGCATTAGACATTGACGCGGGGGACGTTATTTGGTTTTCTTAAGCATCTTCTACAGTAGGTTCGATAGTGACATAGCTATTGGAGCAGTATGACTTCGTGTGAGATCTCCGCGCCCCCTTCTTTGCCTCCGGTGTCGACGGTGCCTCTATATCCTACGCTGCCTACTGCGAGCGATGCTGGAATAACGTACCGATTTTAGAAGATTTTAGAGGTCAAAGCTCGCTTGCACACGGAAATGGAAGCCCGCCAAACGTTCTACAAAAAGTACAAAAAAGCTGTGAACGGGTTAGACGGTGCGGGCATAGCCCTGTCTGCTATTACTGTGGGCAGCGCTGTTAGCGGCGTGGCCGTACTCAGTACCATCGTCTTCGCGCTCGAAGTCCTAGCAGCTGTTTGCGGCACGGCCACTTTCGCTGGTCGGGTCGTGAGCCGCAGATTGGACAAGAAAGCTGAAAAACACAATCGCATTCGGACGTCCGCCGAGACCGTGCTCTGAACAATTTGGCTGATCACGAGCCGAGCGCTTCGAGATGGCAACTGCAGCGAAAGTGAGTACCAGCTCGTTTTGGGAAAACCAGTATTTGAATAAAATTGTGTGTATAAAATAGCCATCGCTGGTGTGGAGTGTTTGGCATGTCAAACTGGCGCTATGAGCGTCATGAATCTAGCCGAGCATTTCAATGATCGGCGGCATAATCGCTCGTGGTTGTCTGTGTGACGACAGTGGTGCTATCAGCGGCGGGGATGGGGAATGGCTATGTGAGCATGTCGAGTTTCCCAGGCACCGAGAAAAGCTAGTTGAGGAGCTAATGAGATCTAGGGGGTGGCCTCACCGCTTCTTTCGGTCTGCTCCCTAGGAACTGCAACGGCAATTTGTGCTTTCGAGGGAGGGAGTAGATACCCACCTCCGCATGTTGGGCTGGGTCCTCGAGGAGCCCTCTCGACGAGAACAATCAAATAGACCCCCGACGGCCGGGTGCGCGGGCGCTGGGGGTGGGCCGCCCGTCTTTGGCTTCTGCCGTCTTCCTGAGTTTGGTCTTTGCGTTATCCTGTGTGATTTTTATGCCGACCTATGAGCTTACTGTGTGCTTACTATGTATGTGAACCACGTACGCGAACTAGGGCTGGGGCGCTCAGATTTATGTATGCAGCCTACCAGGGGGTAGAGTGCGCCAGAACCTGAAGTCTTTGTACTAATTAGTGTGACATTTCTTTTTAAATAAAATTAAACTTAAGTAAACAGTACAATGTACAAATGTAAAGTAAAGATTAGGTTCCAGGGGTCAAAATGAACTCATGATAACGTATATATTTCATCATCAATCATTATTTTTCAATAAAATTACACTTTATTAAACAATACAATATATAAATGTAAAGTAAAGATTAGGTTCAAGTGGCCAAATAACGTACAAAATTCATCATCATTCATTTTGCACGTAATTTATTCTTAGATGAACTTTGATTTTGCATGTACACTGAAAAACTGAAATCAAGATATTTGTTTTGTTTTCCAACGTGTCTAACTGTTTTAGTTACTTGAATTAAATCGTGTAACAACACAAAGTCGAGAAATTTCACTGACTGTCAGGCCAGGCCCTCAGTGACGTGATAGGCAAGGGGGCATTTCGCCTTGGGCCAGTAATATAATATGGGCCTGCGCCCCCCCATTAAGACACATGAAAATTGCAAATTTGAAGTTTATAGAAAAAGTAATGAATGATTTGTGTATTATTTGTACTTTTCTTACGTTATCTCATCATGCAGAAGACATTCATCAATTGCTAACTTTTTAGAAATTCTCGTAGCATCTTCAAACGGAATCACGCTTTAAGTCTTATCAATATAAGCAGGCATTTGGCTAAGTTGTAAAAGTTAGGGGAGCAACAACAATTTTTGGGGGGGAGGGGGAGCAGTTGTAGACATCAAGTTATACTGTATTATAACAATAATGTAATTTATCACTAGTTAGTTTTTGTGGGTAGCCGCTGTGCATGCGCGACTAACCATTATGCCATACTGAAAAAGTGTCTGTGTGAGGCAGTGAGGCAGGCAGTGTTTGTTCGTCGTGATATCCTCGGCTGTGTTATCGGTGATAGTCGCATATGCGAACGATCACGAATAGAATTTTTTAAAGTAATGTCAATACTTATGTTGTTCTTCAATTACTTATGCTTTAGAGCGTACAATCTGCACTTTGTTTTAGTGACAACAGTCAAAGCCGTGCAGCTGAAAATCTCATTCATTTATACGCTTTACTGGTGATTACAGACGTCAAATATATCCTATGAGGGACTACTGCAGTTTAGCGGACACCTTTGACGCTGACCCAAACCCTACCCTATAATCCCAAGCAAAAACGAGCCCGCAGTCACAAGCGCTTCGGGTGTCCACTAAACTGCAGTCTAGCAAAAATTTAAATTGGAACAGAACCATCGGCAATATAGTCCTATCAAAATGTTAATAAGCAAATATTCATACAACACAGCAAACCAGTTTGATATATCTTGTTAAAAGAATGACGTATCTCTTCACCACACGATTGTTAGACAAATATGATAAATTATTTATTAACTAGGAGTTATTATCGTAAGGTAGTTGCTGCTTCTCGCGCCGAGTAGGCGAAAATCTTATTATTTTAAGTGTTTTTTTTATTGTATCAAATCTACTATTTTAATGCCTTGATGTAAGATCAATTACTGGGTCATGTCACTAGGCAGTGAACACAACTTTAATCAAGAGAAAGAAATGATGCACACAAGTCTTTATAATTGACTTGCTGTACTATTTTTAATTTATCCTTTAACTTTTGTGAACATTTTGTACATTTTAAATTATAACATTTTTCACAAACTAATTCCTCATTTCTAGAATGAAATATGGCTTCACCACCTAAAAAATTAAAGATTGAGGAAAATGGATCTCGTTTGAGTAAACTTTTAATCAATAAAGGAACACAAGCCTTAAAAAAAACATTGCAATTCATTATAAATCTTCAATCATCAAACTTAAAAGATAAACTTAATGATCCTTCTACCAAGAGTAAATTGACATCACTAAAATTCAAAGTCATCAGCAAAGAGCAATGGGACCTTCTTTACCCGTCAACTGGTTCACCTGACATTGAAAAATTTGATATTTCATTATTGACTGTCTTGTTGCGTAACATATGTGGTCTAACAACGCCACATGGTGGATGGGATGAACTTCCTTCCTCTTCAGATACCTCAATCTCAGCAAATATTGCAAGAATAAAGTTTTATCGAAACAAAGTTTACGGTCACATAACTACAACTAGTGTAAATGATAGTGAGTTTGAGTACTTGTGGCAGGAAATTTCAAAAGCATTGGTTGGTCTGGATATTCAACAAACTGAAATAGATAAATTAAAGAATGCTCCACTCACTGCCAATGAGGCAAATTATACTGAAAAATTAAAAAACTGGTGTACTGTTGCTGAGAAAACAAAAGAAGATGTGGAAAGTATAAAAAATGACGTGGAGAAAATTAAAGAAAGCATGTCAACAAAAGCTGATATTACTGAAATTACACAAGAGATGGCAACAAAAGCTGATGTAGTAGAAATTAAACAAGAGATGGCAACAAAAGCTGATGTAGCTGAAATTACACAAGTGATGTCAACAAAAATTGATGTAGTAGAAATTACACAAGTGATGGCAACAAAAGCTGATGTTGTTGGAGTAAGAGAAATGATGCTGTACAAAATATGCTCAGATCTTCAGAAGCTTGGAAAGTGTAATTTTACTGGTCTTATAAAAGATCTTAACAAGAAATACCTTGAAGGCACTAGACAATGGTTATTTGAAAAACTTGACACTTGGTTTAACGATAGAAGTGAAGATGCTTCTAATGTCATGATTTTGATTGCCGGTCCTGGAGTTGGTAAAAGTGTGTTTGCTGCAGAGGTGTGTCGACGATATTCTGAAAAGAAGAAACTTGCTGCTTATCATTTCTGCAGATATAATAGATCAGATTATAGAGATCCTCGAAAATTGATAGAATCATTGGCTAGTAGCATGTGTGATACAATATCAAATTTTAAAAGTAAACTGAATGAAGAATTGCAGAGAAATAATTCCAAAGAATCGATCACCGATAAATTCCTTGTTTTATTAAATAATCCATTGCATTCATTGCAAGATCATGAACCAACGCTTTTGGTTATTGATGCCTTAGATGAAAGCCAAATCGATGGCAAAAGTGAATTGTTGGAATTGATTTCAGAAGAGTTTGACCGACTGCCTAAATGGATTAAAATCTTCATCACCAGTCGTCCAGAACTTCCTGTTCAAAAAGTGTTGAAAGACATGAATCCTGTGGAAATTACAACTCATCCTCGTGATGAAAACAACGAAGAAGACCTGTACAAGTATTTGAAACATGAGTTGAACGATCAGTTGAATGATCGGGTGCAGGAAGATCACTACGTTCTATCGTCATTAGCAAGAAAATGTGAGGGATCGTTTCTTTACGCTCACCACGCACAACTGAGCTTAAAGACAGAAAAAATTGAACTTACATACGAGAATATTGAACAATTGGTCCCTAGTGGGTTAAGCGGTATTTACACAAAGCAATTCAAAAGAGTGAAAGAAATGTTAACGGAGAAAAGTACCAGATATTCTGTTATCTCAGAAACTACTTTCATGCAATTTCTTGAATTGTTGGCTGCCTGTCGGGAGTTTTTACCATTAACTTTATTGCTTGGCTATTTAGGTTTTTCTGGTGATATCAAGTTTGAAGTCCGCAGTAAAATCATTGAACTTTTATCTCAAATATTGCCAGTTTACGATGATTGTTTAACCGTGTATCACAAATCTCTAATTGATTGGTTGAAATCAGATGGTTACGAACAGCATGAGTTTACAGTTAATTCAAAAAATGGTCATAAGTTCTTATGGCATGCTTGTGAAAAAGTGTTTGAACACATCAAGTCGATGAACATTTTTGAAGATCAGATGAACACTGCTATGATTAAATATGCTTTGAAGAATGGAATCTATCATATGTCAAAATGTGGCGAAAATGTTGACTTTAGCTGGGCAGTAGATGTCAAAGTGGTTTATGCGAGGTTAATGGCTGTGGAAGACATTAACATGTTTTATACCATTAGGTCTGAATTGTTTAAAATCCTTAAAGAACTCCAAACTTTCTTGAGAAAAGATGTACTTGAGGAACTACTATTTCATTTGTTTATTGCGAGAGAGCATTTACGTATATATGATAATGGCTTAGTTTATTTAGAGAGTATTGCAAACAGAATTTATGGCAGTAACGAAAAAAGATTATTGGCAAGGGATTTATTGAAACAAGGAAAGCTTGTTTGGTTTGAGGATTTAGACACAACATATTTAACAAACCGTCATCATTTGACTGTCCCCTTGCGTGCTAACGTTACATTTCTTTGTGTGTCGTCCAATGAAGAACTTCTTGCTGTAGGATATGAAAATAGTCAAATATCTATTTTTGAACTTCCAGAATTTGAACAACGATGCACTCTTGGTACTGCACTTGATGATTTAAGGTTGGAAAAGAGGGATGCTGAAAACACAATAAATATTGGTTTTGTACGTGGAAACATCTCTTGCTGCTGTTTTTCACCTACCGGATATAGACTGGTAACTAGTGATGGATCTACTGAAGTAAAGTTGTGGGACGTTAACAATGGACGTTTGTTAGTATGTTTACAGTCAGATGATGTCGTTAATCGTTGCTCTTTCTCAGATTCTGGTTTGTTTATTACAGCAAGATATGATGGAATTTATTCTAAAGATGTGTTCACTGCATGGAATTCATTAACTTTGCAAAGAATCGATCAACGCTGCGTTGTTGATTACCAAAAATTACAATGTAGCGATAAATATTCAGAGTTCTTTGGTGCAAATTTCGTCGAGAGTTCGTATGTTTTTCAATTCCCAAAGGCAATCGATATTTTTTCAAAAAAAAGGAAATATCCACTACCTTTACATTTAATGATGACACACCATTATCGTGATTGTATTTTTTATCATACAAGCCAGAATGGAAAGCTTTCTGAAATCACTCAGTTTTGCGTTGTGCCGTATTTTTCCAAGCTTAAAATTTTCAAAACTGATATTCTTTGGAGACCTTCATTTATCTTTGAGAATTTTGAAATTAAATGCTGTTGTTTTTCACCGGATGGATCTTTTTTGGCTGCTTTCGCTGTTGGTGACCACGTCAACATTCATATTTGGAGCATTAAACGTTACACTATTATTCAAATTGTACCAATGCAACTGAAGAATGCATTAGGATGTTTGTGGTCAGATGGTTTACTGTGGATATGGGATGGTTCTGATCATCTTATGAAGATATCAACTTCGTCTGAAAATTTTGTGGATTCTACTCAAGCAAAGTATGTTAACATTGGATTTAAACCTAAGAAAATCTTAACATTCGGTGATGTCTTAGTTTGTATTGACAAAGAAAAGTTTGTTCAAGTTGTTAGAATTACCAAGGGTGAGATACAATACAACAAAAGACTTCCTGTTGATAGTTCAAAATTTAAAGAAGCGGCGGTATCACCTGATAATTCTGTTATTTTAACTGTAAACAAAACAGAATACACATTATGGAAATGGGGAAATAACATCAATGAACTTTACTTGGAACCTTGGCATACTGCAGAAATACCCATAACAGCTATCATTGAAAAATTTGTTCCACAACAGGTAACTGTAAATGATTTAAAGTTCAACTGCTTTATAAGTGATAGTAAACAAGCAGTCATAGCATTTTGCAATGGCTTCAGATGTAAAGGCATTTATGTAATTAATGTTCATGAGAATGGTGATGTGAATGAGATTTTTCATGATGTCAGTGAATATTATTTGCGATCCAACCTAATCGTATGCAAATGTTATTGCATTGGGGAGTGTTTTGGGTCATTGTTTGCTGTAGATTTAAAGAGTGGTAAAGTATGCGTGCAATTTAAGGAACTTTATTTAATGCCTCATATTATTATGCATTCCAATACAGGAACTTTAGCTTTGGTTGACAATATAAAGTGCAGAATTCAATTTTTAAAACTTAATGTTCCTGAATAAATACATCAACTCAAACTTTAATAGTAAGTTCAAAACCCTTTTGAGAAAATTTCACAAAGACGTTGATGGTCCTTAGGATGATTGCTTGTTTCCACCTGCTATAGTTTTCTACAGAAGAAGTATACTTATCCTACCAGGCAATCTTTAAGAAATTATCTATATTTACCAAAAATAAATTTGGAACAATTTTGCAGAAGATGTTTTAAATTTACCGGTACTTTTTCTTAGAATATCTTACCTCCTGCTATTAAAGAATGTAAAATATTATCTATGTTTTGCAATAATCTGAAACGATGTATAATTGCTTTTTATAACACAAATTTCTTGTATTTAAAAAGATCACTTCTATACTAATTGATCATGAATATTTGTTTATTCATTTCTAAGATTCTACTTGTAATCTTCATAAATGAATTGTCATTTAAAGAGGGCATCCTCTAGATATGACTACTACTGTAAGATGCTCTGTCAAACTTATTAATATGTATTGTACCTCTGAACAAATTTCATGTTGATGATTTACTTTTTAATAAAAATGTATGGTTAGATAATTTGTTTTTTTTTATTTAACAAATAGATAACATTTAACAGTTGTCTGTACAGTTATAGATACACGGGTATGACGTCATTGTGATAAAAACTGAGTGGCCACGAGCCGCCGGGCAAATCAATGTTTGAAAACCGAATTTTTTCTTTTCTTTTTGCTCAAATGCGTCCAATGCTTCAACTAGGCATTCTTAATTTCTTTATTTGCCCATTCAGGATATATTCAGGTAAATATTCAAATAAATTATCCGTTCGTTTGTCATTTAAAAACAAGGAATTTTCTGTGACCTCAATTCTGTGTATCTGTCCTCTTACAGATCATAGCTCTAGACAAATGAAATTGCTCAAATTCTTCCGGTTGTTATATATTATTATAAATAAGACGTTCACTACACAGAAATGAATAAATGTTAACAACTCATTCATTTTGAGTCATTTGATAATATGGTGTTGTTGTAGATGAAGATTATTTTTAAGAAATTATAGAGTGACTTTCTTTTGACATGCTTTCAAGAACTGTAAATACAATTTAAAATCGTTGAAATAGGTTTTGTATGATGTTAAAAATTCACATGTATAAAAACACCATTTGGGTTTTATGATCATTAGTTGAAAAATGTGAGAGACCATTTTTGTACGTTTATTATGTACACATGACCTTAAAGACAGAAAATGTTGTATACTGTCAACAATTCCCGTATGTAAAAACATCATGACGTCATGTCAATAACTGTGAAGAAAATAAATAAAACTTTTACGATTTTGACATAAGTTCTTTTAAATTGAGGATATAAATTTTTTTTAATAATATTTCCTTAAAATATAGAAGATTATTAATTCTCACTTTCTGTCTTCAATGGTTAAAATAAAATTTATCATCATGTTGTTGGAGTTGATACAACGTAAATAGTACAGTTTCAATTTATGACAATTGTAAACGTCTCGTTGCATGGTTTGTGTAAAACAATTCTATATTTAAAAGCCATGCAGTTGGAGATTTTGTGAAAGAGATTTCAGATATACACCTTCTTGCAATGGTTGAAAGTCTTTCAACATTCTGTAATATGTACAGGTATTTACGGAAAACATGGCTGCATCTTTCATAGAAAGACCATTTTTTACTGGAATTTTGACGCAATTATCCTCCTTCAATTCCTTCATCTCCATCCAACTACCTTTGCAAATTTGTATCAAAAATACAATAAAACTATTTGCTGAAAAAGTCTAATCGAGTTAACTCATATGATTGGCTAATACCAAGTCCTGCATTTCCCATTAATACTCAGTCTCCAACACGGACAGACTTTCACATCATCACCAACTGCCAACACTTCGCCGATACCCTCGTTACCACCAACTGCAGGGAGGGAAGGTTTGATGGGATACAATCCTAAATAGAAAGTGACGGACCAACAATTTCAAGGGGGGAGGCATGCATATAATGGTATCAATTGCACTCCCCACCTTGAAGCACATTCAGATCAGCTCGATTGACAGGTGAAGTCAACATTTTTAGAAAAACACTTTCTCTGTTGAATTCTGGTAGAGGATAATCTTGTAGACTACAAAATCTAAGTAGAAATCATTGGCAGATCCAGATGAGGGTTGTAGTATGTTCACAGACAGAGACAGCCTCCCCAGAACTTGAATAATTTATTGATAATTTCGTAGAAGCACTATTGCTAATGCGCATTTAATATACACGACGAGTTTTTTTAAAATAGACATGTTTCGACATCTCATGATGCCATCTTCAGTATAAGTGAAATAATAAACAATACAAGATTTATATAGAAGTAATATGATACACAAATTGCAACAATAATAAGGAAATAAGATAAATTAATGGGGAGCGTCCGAGCGTATTATAAACTAAATACTGTATTGAATTTAAAAACTTGAACATTGAGGTTAGGGTTAGTTATGTTAATGTGAAGTGCTTCTTTGATATTGATAATAAAATTGACATGCATGTGTAGGAGCTAGCACTAAATCCTTGCATGAATTGCCATGTGTAAAATCGTCGGCACTGACTACAGAACAACTCAACCACTTTCAAGGTAAAATTCACTGTTCACTGGAATACTTTAACCTGATAACCTTACTTGGGTCGCCATATTCTGAATAAACTAAAGCTTTAGAAGACCGAGGTATACTTTCAGACGTGATCGAAAATGTCCTCGACAATTTTACAGCTTTGCTTGAAGTCAGAAACCTGAAGAGAACGCATTGCTTCGATCAGTCTGCTATGGTCGTGAGCAGCGCCATTTTATTTAATGGCATTCTGAAGGATGGGAAATAACGTCGTCCGAACAACAACAAAACCTAATTTTAGATATTTACAATAAAAAGTCTCTTCAAGATTAATTTTAAGCTATGAATTTTTGGATGGATTCTAAAAGGGAGCATAATGGAAGGTATTTCAGAGTACATCTGCTTCGGTATTAATTTTAATTCGAGGCTCGAACAACAGTACAATTACTACAATACTGAATGATAGCTATATAATTCTGAGTCTGAACTTCTTCATTACTATAATTTACAGCCGTCTATGAATTTATGATATAAGTTGCTTTCTCTAACATATTTCGTTTAATTGCATCGTTTTTCTTTCATAGATCCAAACGTCGAGCTGAACAAAGAGAACCTTGTAAGTAAAAAACTTTCAACATTGATATCTTCTACATAATTCACAGTTTTATAGATTACGCGCTCGAAATTTCCACTGGGTGATAATAAAGTAAATGGTTTGAACCCGGGAGTATCGTTACATATTTGTAAATGTGGATCGTCCAGGTTGGTATAGTCCTGAGAAGGACTGTTTTTGTTGTTGTTGACTCTGAAGATGACTAGCGCTAAGGTTGTCGAAAAGTCAGTCAACAAAAACAAAAACAGTCCTTCTCAGGACTATACCAACCTGGACGATCTATATCTACAAACATGTAGTTGATAATATCATGAAAATTGAGAGCGAAAAATTTATTTTGGAAAATCATACTAATACTGGAGTATTCATAAGAAAAAGGGTAGTTATAGTTCTTCTTAACTTGCTGTTTTATGCAGGCATTTGTTGTTGTTGAAGTCGTCATTAAAAAGCAAGCGACTCTTGGCTTGCTTTTTAATGCATGTTTTGTTACTTTAATTGAATTTTTGTTTAATCTTAAGGTCGTATTTAGTTGAAACTATAAAACTGCCTCTGAAGTAGCAATGAAATTTATGCTTTATAGTATAGTCAGAAACCTGAAAAATATAGTTTGCAAATGCTTTCATGTTTATGTACACCCGGTTGACCCAAGCATCCTCGCCATGCCTGGCCAAACATCGTACTTCTGTGCATGTTCGTGAAATTCAATTCGATGTAAAATGGTGGGCAAGCAGAAGAATGCAAAATAATAAATTTCGGTGGACCATAAAATAATGCATACCATGCGCGCGATACTGTAGAGAGAGATGTTCCTAGCGGAAATCGAATTTGGATAAGAAAAATAAGTTATCAATGCCCAACATAAAGTTGTCGGAATTTATACGAACATATTATTAAATTATATAAATAGCTATTATATATAAATCCCTCTATACTTGTAATTTAGTACTGTCTGATGATGTCTGGAGAGTCAAGACGAAACGTTACGCTACTAAATAAATATTTCTTTTTATACGTCATTTTTGTATTGAATGTGCTCTTTTAAAAGTACTTTGCTGAGCTTTAATGTTTATATTAAGAATTCACTTCCAGCCACTTCCGGCCGGGTATTTACGACTCATAATGTCTCGCAACTTTGGCTTTGGAAATCCTACTTCAGATAATCACAAATTATATAACACACATATATCTATAGCAATCACGCTAAATCACTAAAATATTTGTGTATACTTTATATACTTGTATTTTTTTTTTACTTCATCAATAAGTCACCACTGACCTAAATACCCACTTAAACACATCAAGGATGAAGTACGTCTTTATAAAACAGAAAGATGAATTATCCACAAGTACAAAAGAACCAACAAAAAATCACATTTATGCTATACATTGACCTGAGTATACTTACTTCACTCTAGTCATTCACTGCAGTCGTTGCCAACTAGTAGTGTCGTTGTTTCATTTGTGAGAATATATTGTGAGCTTTTGTTAGTGATTTGTATTTCAAAAGAAATCAGTATGGTACAACTGATTATATGAATATACATCCCCCCAATTAATGTCGTTGGTCACCGAAAGGTCACACAATTATTTCAACTATTTGTCGTACAAATATGTAAGGCACGTGCCTTGCTTATTAATGCAACAAATAATATCTTGTCTGGAATAAGGCTCATGAAAGAAATTTTGAACGAATCTTTGATTTTCAATCAAAATACTTTCTAAGTTAGAATGCACTATAGTATTAAGTATAGACCTGGAGCTAAACTGCATATAATAAAATTCGTTAATTTTTTTGACAAACGATTGCCTTCAATACGACTTGTAAAAATTTTCTGTACAATAAACTTATTTTAGTTTCTCGTGTATCATGACTAAAACAGCGTAGCCCAAAAGAGACAGTACTCACGCAACCGACTTCCACTGTAGAGACAAGAGACATAAAGAAAAATGCAAATTTATGAAAATTTTGCCTCATTGCAATTTTGATCGACAACATAAATTTGTTGTAGGCTTCTCTACTTAAAAGCAGAAACCCTTACGCTACAAGTCCCGGGGCTTGTGACCTGTATACTATGTTGTTAGATAAGGTCGTTATTGACTGTAGTTGTTGGATAAAGCATTATGTTATCACTTTTTTGTTTAATAACACTCCAACTATTTAACCTTATAATTATACTCATTCATGTCGGCAAGCGGGATGCTAGTGACAATGTATGTTTAACATCGATATTAGATTCATTCTTTTTCAATGAATAGCGGGATGCTTCCACTGAAGGGCAATGATGAAACGTCTAACATTAACACCGGATTATGTTACTGCTTATTTAATATAGAATTCGAGCTTTGTCCATATGAACTGTTCAACATGCTTCCGAACAAAAATGAGCAGGAATATTCAGTTGATTAATCTATGATAAACCTTTCACCTTTTAACTCTGCTATACCGGTCAGAAGCCCGAGACTTGTAGCGTATAAGGCTCTCTGATATGAGCAGACTTGTCTCGTTAACACTAAGTACGACCAAATTACACTAAGTACAACCTAAGTACGCCGCGCCACTAAGTACTACCAAATTTAACTCTTTAAGTGGCAGTGTAGCAAATCTGCATACAATCTACGAAATGAGAAACAAATTTTCAAGAAAATTCGTCATCGAAAGTTTTACATCAAAGTTAACAAAACATGCATTGAGCAAGTATACATGTAAACGATGTCAACAACAACAAAATAGTAAAAACTATAACAACCTTTTTCTTTATGATTACTAGTATGATTCTACTGAAACATTTATCCCGACGCTCTCATCAACTATCATCTCATAGAAATCTTGAGCTCGTAATGTCAAGAAGCAATGTCTATGTTTGTCTAAGTTATACAGATCTTTCTCGTGGACTGAAAATCTCCATATAACCGACTGTCTTTTGTTTAGGTTGAGTATCTTCGACATGACGATACGTTTGTAGAGTACTTTAACACATTTCTTTCATTGCCAGTAACTGTGTCTTAAATATGCATTTTTTCATATTCAAAAAGTCTTCAACAATATCAACAAAGCTTAGCTTGACTTTCCTTCATCAGGTTTGATGACATAAATTTTATAATTTCAAGTTTTGTAATATCGAATTATTTCAAAGTTGGCCATGATTGATGCTTTCAAATCAGCGTTTATGGTTGAAAACATTTTATTGTTGTTTGATGTTTGACCAAAGGAGAGCATCTACCGACCAACAATACATTATTTACAGACAAATCTTTTGAACAAAAATGTTTAGAAAATAAGGTGGTACATACCCTCCTGTGCACCATAAAATATATTGTACTCCCCCCCGCTAACCAAGCAGTATGAGACTGATTTTGAAACTAACATATTTTTTTCTGTGTTAATTTTATGAACATCAACTTCCAGTGCTTTCAAACAAGAATTTACTACGACAAACGATCTGGCCTTTTGGAAGAATTTACACAGAAACTGGTCAAAGATGCCTGTGGAAATATTCAAAAGAGACACGATCCAACCAGAAACAAAGTTCAGATCAGTTACTGTGTCGCAGTTCTCGATCAACAATCGACTTTAAAATGGTTACCAAAACAGATTAGATGAATTCGCTAGAAGTAGGATTTTCGCAGAATACAAGTTATCAAAACCTCTTTCATCGGCTCTGGTAACATATGACGTTTGTAATGGAGGCTGTTGATAGAGCGACGTTTGACGCAGAGAAGTTGTACCTCCCCTCCCTCAATAATGTTTGAAGTGCTTAGTGCAGGCTGTTGATAGAGTGACGATTGACGCATGGAAGTTGTACCTCCCCTCCCTCAATAATGTTTGAAGTGCTTAGCGCAGGCTGTTGATAGAGCGACAATTGACGCGGGGAAGTTGTACCTCCCCTCCCTCAATAATGTTTGAAGTGCTTGTGCAGGCTGTTGATAGAGCGACGATTGAAGCAGGGAAGTTGTACCTCCCCTCCCCCAATGATGTTTGAAGTGCTTGGTGCAGGCTGTTGATAGAACCATAATTGATGCATGGGAGAGGTTGTTCACTGGCAGATTACTCAGTGGGCTAAATAAGCTGAATCCTAAAGGCTCGGGCTTTTGAGAAGCCCGCTGTATCCAGACATACTGAGGTTTTAGTTTTTGCAATTCCGTGTTAGTTAAATGTTCTTAATTTAAACTATTTCGTATGATGAAAATCGTACTATCTGCTGTTCAAATGAACGATAATCGAAAGTCATAAAGTATTGGGTTTTCCCAGTTAAAACTGTAAATTTATTCCTTATTGTTGATGCTATGACTTTCAAAAACAAGCTGGGAAATGCAAAGGCAAAGGAGCGTTAGGAACACAAATGTTATCAAGTGACTTAACATAGTGGAAGGAATAGATATCCTACTTAAACTCCAACTACATTGTCTTAAGCCTGTTTTCCACTAGCTACGTATCGTAACGTATTATAGCAAAACGTAACAGGGCGCATGCGTGCTTATGAATTTGATGGTCAATAGAAGCGAGCACGCATGCGCCGTGTTACGTTTTGCTCCGATACGTTACGATACGTGGCTAATTGAAAACGGGCTTAAGCCTTCAGGCCTTGTGATTAGTAATCCGTCACTGAGGGTATTCATGTTGTACTCAACTGATTTCAGCTGAGGATTGATTCATGTCAAATTACATTTATAATCTAAGATCATGAAACTAATGTAGATGGTCGAGATTTGGGTTCAGTTTGGTCCATTGATAGTATGAAACAGGACTGCTAAAGTTTTTGCTTTAATGGTTAAACTGTGGAAGAAGCTTATGAAACAAAATGATTTTGCATCTGATTTAGGCAAATTATTTCGAGAGAATCACTGGAAATATCTCACGGGCAAAAACATTCATTACTGAAATGAAGAAATGTGGAAACATCTCACGAGGAAAAACATTCATTACTGAAATGAAGACATGTGGAAATATCTTACGAGGAAAAACATTCATTACTGAAATGAAGACATGTGGAAATATCTCACGAGGAAAAACATTCATTACTGAAATGAAGACTTGTGGAAACATCTCACGAGGAAAAACATTCATTACTGAAATGAAGACATGTGGAAATATCTCACGAGGAAAACATTCATTACTGAAATGAAGACATGTGGAAATATCTCACGAGGAAAAACATTCATTACTGAAATGAAGACTTGTGGAAATATCTCACGAGGAAAAACATTCATTACTGAAATGAAGACTTGTGGAAATATCTCACGAGGAAAAACATTCATTACTGAAATGAAGACTTGTGGAAATATCTCACGAGGAAAAACATTCATTACTGAAATGAAGACTTGTGGAAACATCTCACGAGGAAAAACATTCATTACTGAAATGAAAACATGTGGAAACATCTCACGAGGAAAAACATTCATTACTGAAATGAAGAAATGTGGAATTTCTTCTAAAGAAAGTTTCAACAGTCATTTAGACGACCAGTTTAGAAGTACGAGTCCCTCAAGCACAGAGAAACAATCTTACAAAAGAAACGACAAAACAAGCGGTGACGTCATCATAGGTGCGGACGTCATCATAGGGGCTGACGTCAGAACTATTGACGTAAGAGAAGATGTTTACGGTGCTTCAAATGATGAAGTGCTAACATCAAATGTCTCGGGTAACAGTAATAAAGGAAAAGGATTTGATGAAGAAGAAAAGTCCAAGAATGAATATTCAGATGACTTTGTTGAGCTTAAAAATGATGAATTGGTAAAGAAAAGAAACGATGGAGATTGTTTCTTGCATAATAGAACAAGCTCCATGGATTCTTTGCAATATAACGGTATTTCAGTGGAAAGCGATCGAAAAATCAATGATAACGACGTTAAAAGGAAGGCCTTGCTTTCATCAAAAACAGCCATGGACAAGTTCAAAGACTTCCTTGTCGACACTAAAGGCGAAAGTTTGCTTCTGCTTTGGCTGCAAATTGAGTATTGGAAACATATTAAAAATAGCGAAGAAAGAAAAAGGTAAACATCGTTTGAAGCAGAGATAATGTGTAAAAGAAAGAAAATATCGTGTGAAACAGAGGGAGTACTGTGTGAAACAGGGAAATTAGCGTGTGAAGCAGAGGGAGTACTGTGTGAAATAGGGGAAATATCGTGTGAAACACAGGGAGTACTGTGTGAAACAGAGGGAGTACTGTGTGAAATAGGGAAATATCGTGTGTAACGGAAGGAGTAATGTGTGAAAACAGGGAAATTAGCGTGTGAAACAGAGGGAGTACTGTGTGAAACAGGGAAAATATTGTGTGAAACAGAGAAAATATTGCATGAAACACTGTCGTACATTTATAACCAAGTATTTGAGATGCATATGCGTATTTTGCTTGTTCATCTGTAGATACGTTCAGGAAATGAAACAACAATATGGTTCACCATTGGAGTTACCACGTAAGATAAAGAAAGACATGTTATCAGGATTAGCTGAAGATATGAATGAAGCACAGAGAATCGTTGAAGAACCATTGTTAAACTATTGGTAATTAATTATTATAATGTATAGTGAACATTTGGGAAATTGAAAACAAATACTAGATAGATTTTCTGAAAGTTTCATTCATCCTTGAGCTCGCTTGCATTAAAAAAATTCTCGCCTAGTATTTTTTAGCTTTCCCAAATATCAACTCTGAACATTCTTTTTGTTCGATAGGTGTAAAAGGTTCACGTTGCATGAAGTAAATATTTCGAAAAAAGTTCATTCATCTTCAAAAATGTCCCCATCAATACACATTTGTACACCGATACATATTTCACCATATCCCACCAACGCTCAATACATCCCTAGACCACATCCATACAAAACACCACAATCCCTCAACGCTCAATACATCCACAGACCACACCCATACAACACACCACAATCTCTCAACGCTCAATACATCCCTAGACCACACACATACAACACAACACAATCCCGTATAGTGAGTTATTCCAGCAGTAGTTCACATTGGGAAAGCAACATGTCATTACAACACGTGAGTCGCACGTGCAACAAATGGAAACCGACCCACCTGAGATCAAAGTCAGCACGTGGACGCAAAGTGACGACGCCTTATCACACGAACGCTGGGAAGCGACAGTTTGAGGTGACGGATGATGTGATTTCTACGGTTGTGTATCACTTGTGTTGTTGTGTACAGTTGTGTACAGTTGTGTATACAAATGTGTTTCATCAAGAGATAATATATTTCAGGAACTTCCTAAAATTTTATTTAGATCTACGCAACATCAGATAAGGAAGAATTCGGATTTCAAAAACGACCAATCAGCGCGTTTCCAAGATGTTGTGACGTGGAATATTTTTCACCAATCAGACTTGTCATTGCACTTTGATTATAGTCTTGGAACAAAGATAATCACTCTGTGATTGGCTTGTTCAAACATTTAACGAGTCAAACTTCCCACATGACGCTTATCTCGGTCATTCTAACCCCCACGTCACCAAATGTCAGTTTTAATGTTTCATAAATGATCAAATTGACTCAGTAGTTGAATATTCACTATATGATTTCTTCAAAAGGTGGCATGACGTCATGGACGATGCACGTGGACAGCAGTCACGTAATACAGTCGAGGAAGATGAAACCTATGACGTAGAGCGGTTGCTACGTGATAGTTTGGAGTACCAGACTGAGTCTGGATGTTTCCTGGAAGATTTCATATCAAAAGATAACAATGAAGTAAATTATACTTTCTTTTTCTAAAATAAATATTAGAGCCCAACAAATAATTTTGAGCATAGTCATAAACAATTTGGTTTTATGAAATTTATTTAAATAGCGACGTTTCGTCTTGACTCAAGACTTCTTCAGACTAATAAGGAAGTTAACAAGAATTATAGATATATAGAGAGTTATTTACATAGTTTGAGGTATCAGATTACTGTGGATGTGTAAGTTTGATGTGATTTATTGTTAAGGTGAGGTATTGAGACTAGAAAAGCTTAAGAGGGATGGAGTTGCCTTGGGTGTTAAGTGAAGGTTTTAGTTTGGAAATGAGGAGGCTTTTGTGGATCATGAGGTCGAATGTGTCGGAGGAGGATGAGATGATTTTAAAATCGTCTCTTTTTTCCTGTTTTAACATCTTAATCCTTCTTTCAAAAGTTGATTTTCTCGTAGTCTATAATACCTTGTTTTGATTTTTGAACAGGATCTTTTGCCATGGTTCTTGTCTTCATGGTCTATTGTATGTTAGTATTCTTGGATAAACCTGCTTATATGAAGTCATTCCTATTCGTTCTAGACTTCTAGTTGACAGACGTTAAGGACTAGTGTAAAGAAAAAAATTAGCTTTTAAAATTATAGTTTCATTGAAAGGAGCTTGTAAAATGACAGTGGACTTTGTAAAACAGTTTTGTCATATCTCTTTACTTTCTCAACATATTAAAGTTGTGTGATGTCCCGTTTATGGAGAAAGTGACCTCACATTGCATAATGAGTTGCTGCAAATTTGTAATTTGAATGAAACACTTATGCATAAATTCTCATTATGCAAAAGTGACGTCATTTCCTCCACAAATCTTGAGAATGCAGAGTTATGATTAAACTCACCGTCATTTTACGAGTTCTTTTCAATGAAATTATAATTTTACCATCATATTTTTCTTTTTATCGTTTTACTTTCCCGAACTGACTTTAGTCTTTATGATGAAGTTTCGTTCACCCAACTATCTACCGCCTATCTTTCGACAGTTGTACGATCAAGAAGGAAAATAATTTTCGAAAGAGGAATTTACGGTGTGGAAGATGTTAAAAACTCGTTACCAGTCCCTCCAGACGGAGTGAGCTTTGAAAGTTTGATGAAAGATAGAGAGGAACTTGAGGGATTTCAGAGGTTTTTGGAGAAAAGAGATCCCAAAGGTTAGTGGAACTTGCTGTTTTCTATGCCTAACATCACACTATGTTAGAGCACGTGTTAAGAAGGAGTGGATCACGTGACGTCTGTTGTCACGGTGACCCGGGTCATAAATTAGATATAACTAAAGAACAACGTTTGTAAATGTAGATCGTCCTGTTTAGTGTAGTCTCGAGAAGGACTGTTGTTGTTGATGTTGACTGGCTTTAAACATCCTTAGCAGTAGTCTTTTTTAGAGTTATTAAACATCCTAAGCAGTACTCTTTTTCAGAGTTATTAAACATCCTTAGCAGTAGTCTTTTTCAGAGTTATTAAACATCCTTAGCAGTAGTCTTTTTCAGAGTTATTAAACATCCTTAGCTGTAGTATTTTTCAGAGTTATTAAACATCCTTAGCTGTTGTCTTTTTCAGAGTTATTAAACATCCTTAGCAGTAGTCTTTTTCAGAGTTATTTACTATTCATATACAACTCTGAATATGACTATCATCGCTAAGTTTGTCAAAATGTCAGTCAACTCTAACACGAACAGTCCTCAACACTACACTATCCATGACAATCAACATCTATTAAACATGTAACTGTACTTCAAGGGTCAAACCATCCATTCAAATGGCGTACCTGAGAATGTATTTGTCTCGCTCTTCACCCGTAGAGATTGCACGCAGGCGTATTCTCTACCTCTCCTATCTCTGTACTACGACATATGAACTGTCCAATCTCAGTAGTATTGGCGGGGAAGGGGAAAATACTAGCGGCAAATATCAATATGAAACACTCCTTGCGCATGTTCTGAAATTGTCTCCGTATATCCTAAGGACATACTATTGTAACTTAATCGCCTAACTCTGTCGTCCAAATGATCGTAATAAAGTAAATGGTTTGAACCCGGGAGTATCACTACATGTTTGTAGAGTATCTTCAGACTCAAAAAGATGACTACCGCTAAGGTTGTCGAAACGTCAGTCAGCAACAACAAAAACAGTCCTTCTCAGGCCTATACCAACCTGGACGATTTAAATTTACAAACATTTAACGATACTCCCGGGTTCAAACCACTTACTTTAATCGCCCTAACTTCGTTCAACACCTAGTTCACTCTACTTACCATTTGGATTGTTAGGTGTTAGCTGGTATGATCCAGGTCAGTTAAAAGGCAGTTTCCCAAGGTATCAATGATATAGACACGTTGGACTATTTTCCTCCGATGCAGTGCTTTAACTCTCCATAAAATAAATTTGTAGTTCACTCAATTTTGCTTTGCTATAAGTTTTCACCGTCGCGTTACAAATGGCTGATTGACTCTTGAGCCTACGGCTCGTATACCTCTTTGGCTGCCTGCTGCGCTGACGTATATGCCTCTCCTTACTCCTTATATACCCCTTTAGTCGGGCAGCCTTAGTCGGGCAGCCTTAGTCGGGCAGCCTCTGTTTATATACTGGTTGTTACCATTGAGTTCTATAATAACTGGAGGGGAAACGTCAACAAAATTAGTATAAATTATTAGCGCGCGGCCGCGTGGTCAAAAACATGGCGGATTTTGGTTGTCAAAGTCAGCGGAAAGACGCGGGCTCATAAAATAAAATTTTTTTCGCCCACCCGGATTTGACAACCACAATTGCGATTATATAAAATTTCAATGCCAAGCACAAAAACTTTTAGAAATTTTTTTTTGGAACATGCTGCAAACTTTTTTGGTGCACGGATGCTGAAGTAATGCCAGAAAAGGAAATATTTCATGACACCGGTGAGCAACGTAAGATTGTTTATCATTTAAAGTGTTCACTGTTTTGTTTTAAGTCAATACTTGAAGTGTGATGGTATATATTTTGTGAATTTTTTTACTCCTAAGTTATAATTTAAGTTATATATATCCACTCTTATTTGTCCTTTACTTAATCGCTTGCTAGACGAGGCAAAGCAACCAATTCTTATCGAGATATGCATGTCTTAAAACTCCTTGTTTCAACTGACTTTACCTCCAAGAAATGGAGGATTTTTTCATGATATTTTTCTGAAAAAATGAAGAAAATATTAAGAACAGAGCTGCATTGAAATCAAATGCAGTGCAGGATTAATTAATGAACTCTTTGGTACATGTCGTACATTGAAAAATACCTGTGTTAAACAGCTAGCCTGGACAATTTGACAGATTATGGACAATCATGATGATGGTGTGTAAAAGTTTGCTTTATGCTAACAGTTTTAAATGCCATCTGGTGTTTCTTTAAATGAATTGTTTGTTATAGTAAACAGGTTAGTACATCAAAACCAAGATAAAAACTACTTTGTTCAATAATGTGCCAAATTATGCTCCTACCTTAAAATATATGCTCAAGAAAAGCTTATAATGACATGCATGAAACATTAAATATAGTACTGCATCATCTGACAAAATCCATACATTTTTCAATTCCAGGTGATTAAAAATTCACATAAGATGCATTGGTTGCAATGAAGTTGAATGTGGAAGAAGCAAAAATTGATGGCAAAGAACTTTTTATGTCTTATGAAGAATTGCAATATTATTTAAAAGAATAAGAACAGCAATCTAGTAAAAGAAGCGACATCTGTCTTCAACATGAGACTTTTCCAATTATGTATAGTTTCTTTGTACAAAATACTATTTTAGAAAACTTGATTTTTAAGTCATTCACTGATATTTTTACCAAAAGACAAAAAGAAAAATTCAAAGGCATAATGTAAAATTCAAAAGTTTGTCAAGTTGTTTGAACCTTGAAAAAATTAGTATAGGTACTAGTAATTTGTAAGGACACAAGAGAAAATAGTGCAAGAAGGTTAGCATTTTTGAGAATTAATATGTTCTTCTTGACATACATTACACAAGGCCATAATATTATAAATAATGACTTTACAATAACAATTATACAACATGCTAAATATCTTCACCTACATTATAATTATTTAAACAGGTTTGCATTCATGCAGCAATAAGAAAAGTGTTATGTCAGAGAAACCAATGCACTTTAAATTAAGAAATAGTATTTTCAATGGGAAATTAATGTAGTTCGGTTCAGTAGTAGATCCATGGTTGTCAATGACAATCCAGTTTCTAATATCTTGGCTCAAAACCGACCAGCAACATGATTATAGAATTTCTGAATTTCGTTCTTTTGCTCTCCTAGTTCAAGATATTTTCTTCATAAGTTCTCAGTAGATTTATCAGAACATCATAATACCTTATAAGACACCCAGAATCAATCCTACCAAAAAAAACTAAAAAGAAATTTCATACCTACTTATAATATATTTCCAGTCGACTTAAGTCGTAGGGGTAAACTAACTTTTTCTAACTCCTTTTTGGACATTTTCACTAAGATTTACCCATCTATTCAGGAAAGACAGTTGCACCAAGCTGTTATCAAACAGTCAAAAACACAAGTATTGTGCATGGGATTATGCATTAAAGCTCAACAACACATTGAAAGTGTAAAGAATGCCGTTTGATATTTATTTCTAACATAGCTAAAGCATTACTTGACAAAATATACGTTATTTTACAGTAGATTTACCTCATTTAAATGTGTGTCTATTTCACAAAAACCTGTAGCATTATTTTCAATATTTTATGCTTACGGTATCGTGGTTGTTTTCGCTGGTTGTCATTGATATAAGCAGTAATAGAGATCCGGATTCGGGAGGGAGCGAATGTTAAAAATTTTTCTCAAAGTGGAAGTTTTGACAACCAAAATCCGTTTTTGACCACGGGGTCCAGGCCCCTTTTCCCCTCCAGTTATTATAGAACTCAATGACAACAACCGAAACCTTAATTTAAATATTTAAGATAAAAAGTCACTTCAAGATTAATTTTAAGCTATGAATTTTTGGATGAATTCTAAAAGGGAACATAATGGAAGGTATTTCAGAGTACATCTGCTTCGGTATTAATTTTAATTCGAGGCTCGAACAACAGTACAATTACTGCAATACTGAATGATATCTATATAATTCTGAGTCGGAACTTCTTCATTACTATAATTTACAGCCGTCTATGAATTTATGATATAAGTTGCTTTCTCTAACATATTTCGTTTAATTGCATCGTTTTTCTTTCATAGATCCAAACGTCGAGCTGAACAAAGAGAACCTTGTAAGTAAAAAACTTTCAACATCGATATCTTCTACATAATTCACAGTTTTATAGATTACGCGCTCGAAATTTCCACTAGGTGATAATATTATGGAAATTGAGAGCGAATAATCTAATTATTTTAGAAGAGTCATACTGTAGTATTCTTAAGGAAAAGGGTTGTTGAAGTTCTCCTTTATTTGTCGTTGTTTTATTCATAGTGTTGTTGTGGCTGCCGTCTTTATTAAAAAGCGAGCGACTCTTGGCTTGCTCAATGCATGTTTAGATATTTATAAGAAAAAGAGTTGTTGAAGTTCTCCTTTATTTGTCGTTGTTTTATTCATACAGTTGTTGTGGTTGCCGTCTTTATTAAAAAGCGAACGACTCTTGGCTTGCTCAATGCATGTTTAGATATTTATAAGAAAAAGAGTTGTTGAAGTTCTCCTTTATTTGTCGTTGTTTTATTCATACAGTTGTTGTGGTTGCCGTCTTTATTAAAAAGCGAACGACTCTTGGCTTGCTCAATGCATGTTTAGTTATTTTAAATGAATTTTTGTCCAGGGGCGGATTTAGGATTTTTCAAACATCAGTCATAAAACGTTGGAGGCGCTCCGTGTTGGGTTTGATGCAGTGGCCATGATAAATAATCACACTGATGTCTGGAGGCTTTATTACATTTATTCCCACACATAGAAGAAAGAGTAGCACACGAAAACTAACTGATACACATAATGATACAGCTATTTACATATGTGACGCTAAACTATGATTGGTCAGTTTATTTCCTCAGCTCTTGTTACAAATAATATCGATTACGTCTACAATCATTTCTATGATTAAACATGTAGGAAGTTAACACACATTTTACAAGATACACATCACATGAGAGCATAACCTAACATCCCCCCCTTGCTTGCAATGCCCTTTAAATTGCAGATTAAATGTTTGAACCTATCTAGCCTGATTTTACTTGCCGCCTTGGTAAATATGTCTGCTAAGTTATCTTCACTTGCAACGTACCTTAAGTTTATCGTGTTGCGCTGCGTTTCACTTCTAATGAAGTGATACTTGATGTCAATATGCTTCGATCTCTTATGAAAAGCTGGATTCTTAGCTAGTTTGATTGCTCCCTGGTTATCGGCATTGATAATCGCGCTCCTGTTATCTGAGAATATGCCAAGGTCGCAACATAATTGCTTCAAAAACTTACTTTCCTGCACTGCCTCAGCCATAGCTATATATTCTGCCTCACAAGTAGAAAGTGCAACTACCTGCTGCTTCTTGGTTTTCCAGGATATCAAAGGTCCTCCCTCTGACAATAGGAAAGCGTATCCGGAAATGCTCTTCTTGTCACTAGCATTTCCCCCCCAATCGGAATCACTGTATCCTACCAATTCTAAAGGGTTCTCGCTCTTTCTAAACGTTAGATTTAATTGTGGTGTCCCCTTAAGGTATCTTAAGACATGCTTTGCTGCAGTTAATGATGCAACAGTCGGTTTGGACATGTATTGAGACAGTTTGGTAACTACATAGCATAAGTCTTGCCTAGTGCCTGTCATAATGTAAATCAGACTCCCAACAACTCGTCTATACAAGTTAGGATCCTCCTATTCGGGTGAATCCATGCACATTGATTTATCGTGTTCGGGAAGTGACGGTGCCTTTTTGGGTTTGCAATCGGTCATTTCAAATTTTGCCAATATTTTTTCTACGTAACGGCTTTGGCTCATTTCTATTTCGTCATCAGAACACTTAAACTCAATGCCTAAAAACCAATGTAAAATGCCCAAATCTTTCATTTTGAATTGTTTGCAAAGACCCTCTTTTACGCCTTTCAGCAAGATTGAGTTACTTGCAGAAATTATTAAGTCATCTAGCCAAATGATCATGATAATACATTTGTTACGGTCCCCATTTACGAATTTTTAATACACACATGGGTCTGCAAGGGATTGGCTGAACCCGTCCCCAGTCAAGTAGTCGTGTAATGTTTGATTCCAGTTCCTACCGCTTTGTTTAAGACCGTACAACGACTTGTTTAATTTTTAGACAAGTTTTTCTCCATTCTTACCCAATTTTTCGTAGCCTTTTGGTTGCTCAACATAAATGTCGCAATCAATGGGTGCGTTTGAATATGCCGATTTAACATCCATTTGGTGTACTTGTATATTGTTTTGGACTGCGTGTTGAATCAGCACACGAATTGAATTCATTCTAGCAGTGGGTGCGAACGTCTCATGATAGTCGATTCCTGAGACTTGAGAATAACCCTTAGCTACATACCAAGCCTTAAACGTCTCTTCATGGTTCATGCCTGCTTTCATTGTGTACACCCATTTTCCACCCACTATTTCACGATTTGGCGGTAACTCAGTAAGTGTGAAAGTGTTATTATCCACTAATGAGGTAAACTCATCGTCCATGGCGTTTTTCCACTGGACTGAATTTTTAGAACTTACAGCTTCTAATGAGATCGTGTGGCATCATGTGCCAACAACCGACAATCCGGCCGACCTCGGAAGCAGAGGTTGCAAACTGACCGAGATGTGGATGAAAGGTCCTGCTTGGCTATCAGAGCGTAGTCTTTGGCCACCAGATCTTATAGTCAAACCGTCGACTGACTCCCAAAGTGAAGCAAAGGCGACGAGAGTAGTTTTGAGCACGGCTATCCAGCGGTCAGACTTTGCAGTATTCAGTGATATTCTTGAAAACCATTCATTGCGGAAGGTGATTCGTATTGGGGCGTGGGTGAAACGATTTATTAATAATGCTCGACAAAACAGCGATAAAGAAAGCACGGGCCACTGACATCTGAAGAAGTGGAAGAGCAACACATGTAATGGATGAAAATGGTACAAGCTGGAGTCGCTGAAAAACCCAAAGTCTCAAACGGATCTTATTCAGTTAAATGTGCAACCCGACGATGACAAGATTTTAAGTTGTCACGGTCGAATACAAGGAGACTTCCCTAATTACTTGCCTGATGACGCTCTATTCACCGTGAAGTTAGTGGAAGATGCACACTTGGAAACACTCCATGGGGGAGTTATGCTTACGATGGCAAAGGTCCGAGAAAAGTATTGGGTTCCTCGGCTTCGTCGACTAGTCAAAAAGCAAAGGAAGAGATTCTACAGATGCAAGATATTCACGACCAAACCGTATCAAGCTCCAATACCTGCTCCTTTACCAAAGACTCGAACAGAAGGAACCACACCGTATAAAGTAATTGGTGTGGATTTCGCCGGTCCGATTAAGTATAAAGTCAAGAAAAATCAAGAAGGAAAACCCTATCTAGTGCTTTTTTCCTGTAGTTTGACGCGAGGAGTCTATCTTGAATTGTTGAAGATTCTTGAGACAACTTTGTTCCTGCAATGTCTAAAACGGCTCATAGCAAGGCGAGGTCGTCCTTCGCTGATCTATTTGGACAATGCGAAAACGTTTCAAGCTGCAACAGCATGGTTAAAAGAGCAATGCAAGACGAGAGTTTTCACAGCGAGCTCAGTAAACATAGCATTAAATGGAGATTCAATCTGTCCCGCGCACCATGGTGGGAGGCCAGTTTGAGCGATTGATCGGTGTATTTAAATCATCATTTTACAAAGTCGTTGGTAAAGGACTTCTTAAATTCGATGAACTGGCAGAGGTTGTTTTTGGACGTAGAAATTTGTATGAACAATCGACCATTGAGCTGCGTAGAGGATGATGTTGAACTCCCCGTACTGACGCCATCTTCGTTCGTACTGCAACAGATGAATGTCATCCCTGAGGTGGAGAGTCATCACATCAAGGACGGTTAACTACGGAAGCGAGGAAAGTATTTGTACAAAATCAAAACCCAATTGTGGAACAGATGGCAGCGAGAATATTTAACAAGTCTACGCCAATGCAATCAAGTTAACAAATCGGCAACCGAATCTCATCCGAAAGAGGGAGATATCGTTTTAATTAAGGGTTATGAGAAAAACAGAAATATGTGGAAGATCGGAAAGGTAACGATGTTGATCCGTGGAAGGAATGGAGTTGTGAGAGGAGTGAAACTTCAGTGTGGAAAATATCTCTTGAGAGACCAATCCAACTTATCTATCATTTAGAATTACAATGCGACGTCAGCAACCATCAAAAGAAGTTGCGAGTGAACGCCGAAGAATTCAGACCAAGACGACAAGCTGCTGTGGTTGCAGAGGCGATGAATCAGGAGCTAATGGAACAGGAATGAAATAAACTTCGAGACAAAGTGATATAACATGTGACTCATTCGTAGTCACATGTGGAGGAGGGCGTTGCAAATTATGTTAAAGTTGTGTTGGGTTTCAATTGTACATTCGGGTACGTTGGGGACAATAAGGAACAATATAAAAAACATGAGTGGAACGGAAGTAGAGAGAGCAGAGAACGGAAGTGAGACAAGCGAGAGAAGCGAGATACTTTGAGGAGTAATAATAAAAATTGTTTAAGAAACCAAAGTTGTGATTGTGAATAATCTTCGTGTTCCGAAGACATTGGGACGGACGTCAATTTTCGGAATACCAAAATAGAGTTGCGAAGGAGTCTTACAAAGTATAACCTGCCTGCCATGTTTTAGGGTTGTAGACTTGTAGGTAAAACAATTGGTTTATTTTGTTTTCATTATTACTGCGCAAAATGCGCATTAGTAATTGAAAATATAGCTATTAATTTTGGGGGAGATCACCTTCCACAAGTGGCAGCCAGTCGATTGCTTGTTTTGACCAATAGGAAGGATAAAATGTCTAACGGCAGCCAGTTGCACACGAAGTGGACCTACTGTATATTCCCTATACTGTGACATAGATGTCATTATATTTTCATAATATTGTTTGTTGAAGTAGATCTTGACTCATTTTTCATCTTCGCTCGTTATTTTAATGTGTTTATGTAACAAAACTCTCGTGGATAAAAAAATAATGTTATAATAAGGCATGAAGTATGATCACCATTTTTTAACTGATATGTATGTGGTCGCGTTGTTTATATTAAATCTTTCATCCGTTTGTTGAGTATGT